GCCTGGTTCGCCCGCGAGGGACTCACAAGGTCGATTTCGGCCCCGGCCGGGGGAGCAGGCCGGGGAGGGGAGGAGGGGAGGCAGGTGTAGTGTGGGACAGGGAGGGGGTGATGCTACTGTAGCGAACGGTGGGACGGACGTGCACTTCAGTTTTTGGGCACGCATACGGTGCTGCAGGGATTTTTAGGTGTACCTCTTCGGGCTCTTGGATACTATTTTCTCGTTATATGTGTGCGTGTTCTTTAGACTAGCACTTACTTTCGTGACCACGGGCTGAGAGTCTTTTGCTAGATTTTGGCATTTANGTGGGACAGGGAGGGGGTGATGCTACTGTAGCGAACGGTGGGACGGACGTGCACTTCAGTTTTTGGGCACGCATACGGTGCTGCAGGGATTTTTAGGTGTACCTCTTCGGGCTCTTGGATACTATTTTCTCGTTATATGTGTGCGTGTTCTTTAGACTAGCACTTACTTTCGTGACCACGGGCTGAGAGTCTTTTGCTAGATTTTGGCATTTAGCAACTGACATACGGTTTAATGTAAAGGCAACAACAACAACAAATTTTGGGAAACATTTGAAGATTAATTTCAGAGATTTGGTGACCATAATAAACATGGGTCTTGCAGATTCAAGAACAAAACCAAAACAAGCTTGCAAGCACGCATTTATCCATTCGTAGCACATCGTTCATATCTCCGACAAGTGCGTGCTTGCGATCGCAAGGTGGCTGGACTTGTCAAGCGCTGTTACCGGTAGTGACTACGGGGAACAGCACAACTAAAGCGAAAGGTATGAAGCCGGTCCCCCTTTGTTCACGTACTATCTTCCCTGCTAGCGTGAAACGTACAACCACAGGTACATATATGAGGAAATGGCACAGGTAGGAGGCGGAAGCGTCCGCGAAGCGCCAGCGCGTGAGGGAAGCAGAAGCAGAGAGTACGGCCACCTCAGGACCGCAGAGAAAGAGAGCCGGGGAAGCGGCGGTGGGGGGGAAGAAACGGCGACCGGGCACTGCTGTAGAAGCGAGTAGGGCGGCCGAGGCAGCACTTGTGGCGAACTATGTACCCGGCTGATGTTGTTGCGCCCTGTTTCCCTCCCTGCTGTATGCCATACTCCTTTATGTATTCTTTGTATTCCCTTCGGTCTCTGTGCTGTGTTTCTTTTTTCCTTTTTTTTTCATGTCCTCCCTGCCTACTCTGCTGTGTTGGGTACCTTGATCTCGCTTTTGCTGTAGCCTTTGTTTTTGTACGTCTGGCTGTCTGCCCATCTGCCGCCTCTTTGTCCTATTTGCTCCGTTACTCCCATACCCTGGTGCGTAGTGCCTGGTGCTGGTACGTAACAATTTGATTTTTTCTTTGGGCGGGTGTGGGAAGCGTCCTCCTTTCTTTTTGTTAAATTTTCTCTTATTTTGATCGGTTTCCGAGGGCGCTTTTCTCGAACGGTCGGTGCGATACCTGTTCTTTCCTTTCTATCATTTTGTTTTCTTTTTCCGAATGGTTTGTACCCTATTTTGTTTGGTTTCCCCGCGGCGTCGTATGTGCCGGGTTTTGAGACCACGGGCTCCCCATTTTTTGTGGTGGACTACCGTATATGACATAAGATAACACACACCCTGGACCGATTTTGAAAGCTCGATTACTCCACGAAGAGGATGCATAGATGAAACAGCACACTTTTGGAAAGCTCTCGACGAGGCAGTTTCAACGCCGTCGTTTTCGGCGCTGTGACTGTTCCTGCAGTTGAGAAATCGAGCTTCGAAAATTGGTCAAGGGGGTGTTTTATCTTGTGTCATAAACGGTATCGAGCTTAAGTTGAAACAACAACAACAACAACAAACATTCTCCGGGCGCCCCGGTGGTCCAGTGGGTAACAACCTCGCAAGTTTCCAAGGGCCAGGTCATGGGTTCCAGTCCCGGCAGAGTGAGTTGTTTTCTCACGAAATAAATCCTGGTCTAGGATTAAAGCGACGCGTTGCAAAGCTCGTTGTTAGTAAACCATAATCGACTTCGTAAGTCGCGAGGGAAGGGATTGCTGTACCCTTCTCGCGATAAAAATACCTCAGGCAGGAACCGCAGGAGGGGGTCCAGCCCCCCCCATGTGACCCCGGTTGGGTTGTCTAGCTAGTTGAAGTGGAGGATAGGGGCCAGTGGGGCAGACGACAGAATCCAATCATGGGAGAAAAAAAAAACACATATAATCTGGTCTTCTCGCTCTCGGGAAGATGTGTACCGTGGCATTTCTGTGTCCTATGCTGTGGACTGAATATCAATAACCAGCACAACACAGCAGTAGCTAGCACATATCCTCTGTATCATAAGTTACGGTACCTAAATGCAATAGATTGTCTGNTGAGATTTTTTTTGAGAATTCTCGACAAAATTCTCAAAACCATCTAATATTAGTACCCTACCGGCCCACTACTCACTCTAGCGATGGAATCGCCCCCCAGCACACCACCTCGCAAAAGGGGCACCGAATTATCGGTTGGTAGGCGCTATGCCATGGCGGTAGGAATTGTCGACTTTTTCTATTTTTTCCCCGCCACCAACCAACCCTTCTTTTTGTCCCGCAAGTGTCTTGATTTTTGTGTGCCCCCCCAAGTGTCTTGGTTTTAGTGTCGTTCACTACTATACTGCTTTTAGTATAGGGGGCGCGACATGGATCGTTGAGTAGAGGGGGGGGTTGGATGAGGGCCCTACTGTTGCTTGCTTTGCCCCGCAAGTGTCTTGTTTTTAGTGTGGTCACCCCAAGTGTCTTGTTTTTAGTGTGGGGCCACTATTATGCTGTTTTTAGTACGGGGGACGCATCATGGATCGTTGAGTAGAGGGGGGGCTAGGTCTAGGGTCAGGGATAATTCTCCTTGGTATTTTTACCTTGTTTTTGTCATTGCCCCGCCCCCCCCGCCTGGTCGGAGGGGGCAGGATACATGCAAAATACCGCCTTTTTCAGGCCGACTGGTTTTTTCTCGGCCGCTCATGCACGCGGGGTGGCGCATGCATAAAAATAAAAATAATTGTTTCTTGCTCAAAAAACTCCGAAGATTTCAACAAAAAAATCGGAAAACAGATCGGACACGGTTAAGGGCCCGTACAAATTTAGGTACCCTAACTTATGATACAGAGGAAGTACACAAGCACTGGGGTAGAGACCATCACATGTACACACAAAGAGTTGGTTGTAGCTCTTTTTTTTTTGCAGCAACAACAACAACAGGGAGGAGAGAACGCGGGAGAGAGGCAGAAGTACATACAGCAAAAAGAGACGTACGTGCGTACTTCTGAAGACTAGACGGAACAACTATTTCCACCCATAGGCCATGAGGGCTGCCCGCGACAGGACGGTGGGCACATACAGGGTCATAGAAGGGTTGATGTGTGGTATTGGTGCGGCCGGTAGGACAGGTTAGGCTTGTAGACCTCGAAAAGATCAGTCGGCAAGCAGCCGAAACTACTTGTACTCTTTTTCAGTACATGTTCAAATGATCAGTGAAAATGATCAGTGAGAGGGCTTGTAGACCCATACACTGACTTGCCAACACCTAGCGTGGAGGGATACAGTGCAACATCTCCATCGCATGCCGCAACACCATCATTTATTTGCAAGTGATCAATCAATGATCAGTCAGGACGCCTGTAGACCCAAAATGCGCCGCCGCCGGCGGGGTGTTTCACCGTAAGCGCGCCCAAAGTTCCGCCGCCATGACCCGGAGAGAGACAGCAGACCCGTTGGCACGATCTAGGCCTACTTTAAGTTTGGGTGCCTGCTGCGAGCACCACCCACGTGGCACCTACCCACATCAGTACCATCTACACCACATCTCCGAGCAACATGCGATATTTTTTATATTTTGGACCGGAAGACCTTTAGAATATCTTGGATTTAGACTGTGCTCGACGGTGTCGACGAAAAATGTACTGTTTGGACGAAGTATGAAGCGAATGTTTCTTGTAAGTCTACCTACAGAAGATGTTAGTCTACATTATAGGAGTCATGTCATTGCAATCCATCATTTTTCACGTTTTTTCCTGAGATGCACTGCCTGCCGCGGATTGCGTCGTTCGCTTCTTTTTTCCTGACCCCTGCGAGAAGACGGAACGAAACACCAGACTAGCACAGCATAGTCACCCCGTATGCATACTCAAATGTAAATCAGCCGGATGCAACATGTAGTCTACGTTCGTTATCACACCGCGATTATTTTCTGCTTCACACAACAAGCGCGACCGCAAAAAAAAACAACCAGTATCCACGCCGCAGGCTTCTCGGGCGCACAGCAGCAGCAGCAGCAGCAGCAGCATCACAACCAATCAGAGGCTCCGACGTTATGACTTCGGACGGCGACAAAATGCCGACCGCCGCAAAGCAGCGAGCCGTAGTGGTCGGAGGAGGCCCAGCAGGTGGCTTGATGGCGGTATACCTGTCTCGGATTCGCGGCTTGGAGGTTGATCTGTTCGAAGCTTTGGAGGAGGACAGAGTCGCAGGGCCGACGATACGCTCGTGGAATGTTGTTCTTTCTGGCAGGGCGTTGGTCGCTCTGGAGGCGGGGGGCGTCGATCTGGGGTAGGAGGTGCGAGGCGGGGTACTTGTAGCCGTACATGCCGTACCTACTATGATCGTTAGACCATTGACCTCGCACCCTTACAAAGCCGGGACGGAGCACACCGGGTTCTCGCCGGACCAGGCTCTCACGTCACCAAGCGCCAAGCGCCGTGAGGTATTTGGCGAGTAGCATGAAAGGTGCGGGGCGGGGAATGAGTTTTACTTCTTTCTTTTATCTGCTACCATTGTACCGCCGTGCGCTTCATGGTGCTATTTTATTTTCACGTCTGTGTTTTCTTGTTGTAACGCCCGTGGCACCGCTTGCGTCGGAATCATACATGTAGGTAACTGCTGTTGTTGTGATGAGTTTACGACCACCTAGTTATTCACGAACGAACCAGGTACCACAAGAGGCATACCACGTCCGTCGAACTCGAATGCACTTTACTGGCCGATTCTCTTCTTTCACTTTCATGGTGTTTCTCTCCCCTTCTTTCTGTGTGACAAGCTTCCTTCTCGTATTTTCGACTTCATCCCACCCAAAATTTTCCCTCACCAATCTTCGCAGGTTGTTGTTGCGACTGCTTCTCATTGTTCCACTCCGGTAGAGCCGAGGAAACAGAAAAACGACTTCTTCCTCTCGCCCTGTAAGACCCCCCACTTAATCATGTCGTGGTGTCCACATGCCTCTAGCTTCATCGCGGAGAGTTGACTGAGTATGTACATGTCAATCACGTTTATTTTCTGCTGCCTTCTCGAACTTTCTGTTCTCACGCTTGCGTGTCAACTACGTTGAATGTCGCGTTTGCCCAGTTTCCAAACAATTCATCATTTATTGACCCAACAACAGCATCCACACACACGCACACACACGCCGCTCAACTGCC